AGTAAGATCCACCGATTTGGAGTCCATCCAGCTGGCGGGTAAACTAGCCCGGCACTCGGACCTTCCCGCCTAAGTATAGTGGCGGGTACACTAGCCTTCCGCTGGAGATCCCCCTAATGCGGCATGAAACCGTTCCTTTGGTCTACCTCTTGTTAACGCCATCTTACTTCAATTCCGCATGTCAGCCACACCTTGGTTTGCCTATCGCGTTTAGATAAGCTAGGGTGTTGGCTATCTTATCCACGCAACATTACCGATAGGCTTTCTCACCGGTTAGAGCGAAAAGAGTCACGCTCATGTGAGGGGTGCCCGACTGCCCCTCCTTTCGTACACAGCATGTCTGGGGAAGAGCATTATCGGGCTATAGGCCGGTCAGGTCGACATGTTGCTTGTCATAGCTCCAGCTTACAAGCCTGGTCAATTCTGAGCGCAACAGCCTTAGACCCTTAGGCTTTTCAATGCATCTCCATGAGGTATGAAAGCTCTCCAAAATTCAGCACAAAACTGGGCATCCCTTAGAATGAAGCCAATTGGAGACTGAAACCCCTGCTGTTGAGCCGATTGTATCTATTTAATCGAATATCTCTCTTCCAGGGTGTATTTGAGTGCCTGGAACTTCGGAATGTCGCCTGAACGTGTCACCACGGAGCCATTGCACTCTCGTGGCTGGGATAATGACTGGCTCAGGCAGTTAGCCGGCGATATGGTTGCCGGATCACTGTCTGCAACAATTATCGCCCCGATCACAACAATTATCGACCGGTACGTGTCTTGAAGACGACTTGAAGAATCTATGTGCTGATATGTCGAGTTCAGGAGCGTCGTGGAGAGGCTCTCCTCAAATAGATCCATCCTGCATACACTTCGCACACATGCCATTTGCTCCATCCTCCAACCGAAAAAGTTTTTCTTTTCCCGACCTTTCTTCATCGCTTGGTCTCTTTACGCCGCAACCTATGCTACCGCAAATGCCACCGATACAAGCCTCGACCAGCTTTCCAGAATAAGAGAGAAATCAACAAGCGCGAGTCTCGTCGCAACGTTCAGCTTCCTCCCAACATACGCCGTCAATGTGTCTCTGGGAATCCTAAAGGATATCCGGTTCTCTCAGATTTACGGACACCCAGACGGTCGTCTCAAGCAGCCACCTCCCATCCCAAGACTCGCGTATATGGCATTTCTTTTCCGCGACAGCATCACTATATCCAGCTCGTTCACGCTGGCTCCGCAGGTGGCCTTGTTAGTTCCAGATTGGATCACTGCAGACCCGCATACCAAGAGAACTGTGACCCAGCTCGCGCTCCCCGCCTTGGTGCAATATGTGAATACGCCGTTCCATATGATCGCGTTAGATGTTATTGCTCGTCCACAAGTGGCCACGATAGCAGAAAGATCCGTTACGATACGGAGAGGCTATATGCAATCATCATCGCTGAGGGCAGCAAGGGTTCTACCGGCGTTCGGAGTGGGGTGTATAATCAATACGGATTTGAGGGCATCTTTGCACAGAAGATGGATGGTTAGATAGGGCAAATACCAGTGCGGGGCACAGCAAACGAGAATAACTTATCTCTCCACTTGATTGTCATGACCATCATTGTTGCGGGCACGTATCAGGACCGCGGCAGTAGCCGGACGGTTCCTAAGTATTTGGGCCCGTTACGAGGATCAGCAAAGCGAGTAGCCGAGTGCAAATGAAGATGCCAGATACGGCTGCACTAACCCCTGGCTCCTGGGAGGGGTAACTCGTAGCGCGCAGGTATGGATGTTATTGCTTTAGTGTACGGTAAGGTCGGGTATCGGGTGTTGGCTCGATGCAGCAACCCGCTATCTCTCCAGCGCATACACTAACCTCACCTGCAAGGTTTCACTAGGGCTGTGAATAGCTTAATCTCCATCCCTTGGCCACGCTTCTGTGCACTCCTGCTCCACATCTGCAGTTGAGCGAGCCGCTCACAATAGGTGAAAGAAGAGATAAGTGCCCAGGCGCTATCGAAGCGAATACTGATTAGCCAACGATTACTCGACCCGAACTATCATATCTCATTGACATGTTTTCCCCAGACGCTAATCAACTATGCTTATCCCCGCATCGCTGAGCCTTTGCCGTTCCGCCACTCTATCCAATCAGGCTATGGATCGGCCATATCTATCCATGAGCTTCCGCTGTGGAAAAGAACAGCCACCGGAATTCACTATCAGCACCCAGCAGGTAGCCTTTGAGGGTCAGAAGGCCCAGATACACGTATAGGAAATACGTCATGCTAGCGGAGATAAACCGATGCCTCGCAAATGGTCCCTGTGCATTGGCTGACTGCAACCGTCAGGTCGACATGATCATGGATGCCTCAGGCAGATGGCATATCGGCCTCTCACTGGGTCAATACCGTGGCCAGGTGCTCAAATAGGCCAGATGTTCTCGAGTCTCATCTGCAAATCTCACCACTTCTTGTGCTGAGCCTACTTTCATCACTCCCTCTTTACATTTTGATAATAGGACACCCATCTAATTGTCCTGCCACTTGGTCATTTTGGGAAAAATGAGTGCTTCGATAGGACTCAGAGACCTGGCGGAGATTCATGACACTCCTGCGTATGACTACGGACAGGATGTGGAGAAGAAGCATCTGGATGATACATCCCCTGAAGAGGAAGATCCATTTGGAAACGAAGAGTTCGCAGAGGTGAAATATCGGACGATGGGTTGGTGGTAAGTCCTATATCCCCTACCCTTATACTACGCCTTGGCCCTGTATCTGACCCTTCTTCGCAACATACAGGAAAACAGGGATACGTGAGCCTCAACCCTATTACAGTCACCAAGAATACATAGAGCCCTAACCCCTATTGTCTACAGTTATGGTCGCAGAGAATGTTTCTATTGGAATTCTTTCCCTTCCATCCGCCTTTGCAACACTGGGCTTTGTCCCGTAAGTAGCTTGCTACACTGGTAAACGAAAGCTAAGCCTAGTTCTAGGGCTCTGATCATACTAATTGGAATATCCGCTATATCATGGTATACGGCCTACATTCTTTGTCAGTTCAAGTTACGATACCCCCAGGTCCATAGCATGGGAGATGCGGGTGAAATCATAATGGGGCGATTCGGACGGGAACTGCTTGGTATCGGCCAGCTACTATTCCTTATATTCGTTATGGCCAGTCACGTCTTGACCTTCACGGTTCTCATGAATACGATTACCGAGCATGGTACCTGCACAATCGTGTTTGGTGTCATTGCACTGGTTGTCAGTTGCGTTGGTGCCTTACCACGTACCATGGACAAAGTATATTGGATGTCGATTGCATGTAAGCACCTTCCCATCTTTCACACTTCACTTTAATTATGATGCTAATTCAATTTCTGTATAGCATTTCTCAGCATTGTAGCGGCAACTATGGCCACTATGATAGCGGTCGGCGTAGAGTACAAAGGCCATATCCCTCTTGCTGCGACTACCCATCTCAGCTTCAACGAAGAATTTCTGGCAGTCGGCAATCTGTTCTTTGCTTATGGTATAGCCCCAGCTAATCATGATTCGTGAGCAATACAACTAACTTCACGACCATCAACAGTCGGCCATGCGTCGTTCTTCGGATTCATCTCAGAGATGGACAAACCTCGAGAGTTCACCAAATCCATATCGGTACTTCAAGTCATTGATACCTCGCTATACATAGCTAGCGCAGTGGTTATATACCGCTACGTAGGTGCGGACGTTCAATCCCCTGCATTAGGCTCTGCGGGGCCGCTAGGGAAGAAAATCGCCTACGGGCTGGCTATCCCGACTGTATGTTAACTACCGTATCTTTTGGAACTGCTACTGATTCATATCCTCAGGTCCTAATTGCTGGAATTGTCAATGGCCATGTAGCCAGCAAATACGTGTACGTGCGTGTTTTTCGCGGCACAAACCACATGCATGAACGGACATTGCTCTCCATCGGCTCATGGGTCGCTATTGGATTGATTTCCTGGGTGGTTGCCTGGGTCATCGCAGAGTCAATTCCAGTTTTCAACAACCTTTTGAGTCTAATTGTACGTGGCCATCTCCTGCTACAGAACATGCATGCTAACCTCGACGATAGACTGCACTTTTTGGCTGTTGGTTCGCTTGTGAGTTTCAAATAGTGATGAGATGCTATGAAATATACTAAATTACATCTGATAGATGGATTCCCTGCTATCTTCTGGTTTACCCTAAACAAGGGCCAGTGGTTCGCATCAACTAAGAAAATCTTTCTTACCGTATCCAATACGTTCATTCTGGCCATGGCAATTACCCTCGTATGTATCCCTTGGTCTCAGAGGATCTTGTCGCTAATTTCTTTTCCAGTGCGGTCTCGGGTTATACGTGTCGGGTGATGCGATCAGCAAGGATAGTGGCAGTGGTGTCTGGACGTGTGCTAACAATGCTGTTTGAGTGACCTTTTCTCAACTATAGCTGATCATCTTTCATGTTACTCTGAGTCCTTCAGCGATATTCTTCTCTTGTTATGATGATGGTATTGATGATCAGTTAGTTCTTCTCGATTGTATCATGATGCTTTGAGCAAGTGTTTTCTGTATCATGCAATCAATGTATGTTCTCTAGCGAATGTAAGCAAAACAGTTCGGTTTCCAATCGAAAGAAGGAATACAAGAGAAGTGCATAATCATCTCCGTCATGCTGGATCATCCCCTCCCGGTGTAGCAGTTTTGATGTATCACTAGCATGCCCATTCACTGGACCATCCAGCGTATATACTGACAGTTACACCACTTGTTTATGCGTAGGACAGTTTTATGGCTATCCCCTCGATACCGAAGCACTAATCACACAATAGAGTCTAATCAGAAGTTCTCTGATAATTAGTTATCATACATAGGATTGAGTTACTAATAACCTTTATCATTACATACTGATATATATCTTAATCAGGAATATGTCAGAACATTAATCTTTGATCAACATTCCCCATAAGTCCTTTTGATTCAACCGAATACTCGCGCAACTGAACACACTTCAATTCCAGCCTCTTGTTCGGGGCCGAGGAACAGTTCATGGAATGGCTGTGACACAATAGATCCTATAGCCATCGGTTTCATATCTCCTTATCTAAATAAAAAATAACTCCAGAAAGGTACTTCACCAGCTCAGCTCCTTATCAATCAATTGCATAATAGCCATCTCAGCGGGCCACACTTCCACAAAGTCCTGAACTCGCCATGACCAGTCTTCATCCCACTAATGAAAGGGTGCGATGCACAAAAAAACTCCCAGAAATCAGGAAACCAGCCAGCATTCTCCCAATCGACCAGTACGACGTCAAACGAACGCTCACCCTGCTCGTTCGAGCAACATTTATTCTCCACAACCATGATATTCTTCTGCTGAACATCACCATGCGTCAATGTAGGCCGATGACCTTGAAGAACGCGAGCGAGGTATTTCTCGTAAAATCGAGCCTTGTAATCTGGATGATTATTACGCTCGACTAGGGCCCTATAATTACCCACCAGACCAGCCACGAAGGCAGGTTCGCCAGTGAAAGGTCCTAGAAACTTCTGATCGCCGTGCTGGCTATAGAATAGGTAGTGATGTACACCGCCGCCGTCCAAGCCGCCGTAAAAGTCGGGCCATGGGCACTCGACGTGTCGTAAGGTGTTGAATACTGATTGGAGTTTTGCTATAATACCATCCTTCTCGGATGATGTTAATGTTGGCCAGATACTATCCAGTTGCACACCGGGGATGCGTTGCATGACTAGGAAAAGTTGTTTGCCCTCATAGTACATCGCATACAGTCGAGGGGCTGGAACTTCGGGGACATGTCGTTCAAGATAAATCAGTGCCTGGCCTTCCCAGGTATTTATACAACCTCCATACTTTACGACAATATTGTCGTTAATTGTCACGACCTTGGAGGCCATAGTCTCCCAGAGGACATGGGTGCAGGCGCGGATCTCATCTGTCGTGGGTAGTGGAGGCAGAGGCTGGGAGGTGTGGAAGGGAAGGTCCACTGGTTTCCACATTGTGGAGAAAGCAGAGATTAGCGGAAGTATTCTTGGAATATGGATGGTCGCCTGGGTGGAAAGGCATGGAATGAGCAGTTGATCGCAGATAAGCTAGAAGTTCACACTTCGAACTATCATTTTTTATCCTAGACCTGTTGCAGAATCCTCTTAAATGCTAATAGATTTCAAGAGGAAGCATAGAGTTGTACCTACAGATAGACATTTGATTTGCGATACTGGAACCTGGCAGTTCTGTGGAATCAGGCTGTGCTGAGGCTACATTAGTCTCCTGCAAGGTGACGTGTACAGCGGCTGTAGATGCCCGAGAAAGCGCGTGGAAGAGGGGAAATTTTCAGCTCACAACAGTGAATTCTTGAGTCTCACCTCTCACCTCAACTCTTCGAAAGTTGCTCATAGACATCGGTTCAATTTGCCTTCACTAAAGAATGCTGACGAAGCTACGTGCGAAGCTCTGCTGTTCCCAGGCTGATGGTGACACGGACGATGCCGAACCTGCCATTCCCCATGCGAAACGCTCGAATGATGGAGGAAACACCACATCTGCCAAAAGAAACAGTTCTGAAGCTGCCAGCATCCCGCCGGATCACACTGCTGCCTCACCTAAGGATCTCTGGCAGGTAGCATTCGACAGCCTGGACCCGAAACATAAACACTGGTTGTCTAAAGAGGAGAAGTCTCCAATCGAAATCATTCGGGATGTCATCGGCGAGACAAAAAGTAAATATACCGAGTATAAGAAGAAAGAGTTGACCATCCGAAGGCATAATGGGGGTGAGATCAAAGTCCGCGAGATTGCCCAAAATATCCTGGCGTCCGCATTGAATGCGCAGCAGGTAATCACTGCGGTTGCGAGCTTCGACCCAAGTGGATATGGTAGAGTTCTCCAAGCCACAAACTTATATACGCAGGATTTCTTAGATGCTGATATTCAACCACAGCGTCAAGCGCATGGACGATAGTATCGCTAGGTTTGACGGTAGGCGACTCCCTGAAAACTGTTCCGTCGAGAACCGGTTACAGAGCCATTAACTCGCTTTTCAGATGACCCAGAGAGTCATTGCGCGCAGAGACGTAATCATAGAAGCCTCCGAATACTTGGCGGAACAGCTAGCATACTTCACTGTCCTAGATAGCGACCGCCGATACACAAAGGCTTCCGTGGACAAGCAGCTAGATGGTGCTCTTGTGGGAGTCTATACAGCAATACTTGAATACACGGCGGAAGTGAGAAAAACATATCATGAAAGCGGCTTTGGTTAGTTCGAGTATTCGGTCAGGTTCGCGAGTTGCTATAGCGCATATGTTTAACTTGGATTATTGCAGCTCGCATAGGAAGCACACTCATTCCCCTTACCGAACAGCCACTGCAAAAGCTTCGAACAGCTGTGGAAAATAAAACCACAATGACTGAAAAATGGGCTACTATCAGCGACCGCTCATGTGAGTTTATCATCTTCAATCCTATCCGTATCTTCAGAATACTCAATCGTGTTAGATCTGAGGGGACAGGCTGCGGACATCCTTGCGGCTATTGACAAGACGATCGAGGAGCTCCAAAATATTCATTCCACTGTACTAAGTGAGCTCTCTCAATGATCCCCAACCCAGAAGCTCAAATCCTGACTTTCACAGGTGTCGAGGATAGGGGAATACTTGAATGGCTATCTCAGTACGATTTTTCCAAAGCACAGAACGACACTCAGTACCACAAATTACCAGGGACGGGTGATTGGCTTTTGAAGTCAAAAGAATATGTGGAGTGGAAGGGTTACCCAGGTAGTATATTGTGGTTGCATGGAGTGGGTGAGTTCTCTAGACCTGTTCAGATGGAAAATACACTGACTCATGGACGGACAAGCGGGTTGTGGTAAATCAGTCATATGGTATGAAATACCTGCTGAACCCGTGTACTTTCGTACCTTAGGCTGACATTTCATTAAATATAGCTCGACAATAATTGAAGACATCCAACGAAGTTGCCTAGATGGTTCGAATAAGCGGTTCGCTTACTGGTACTTCCAATTTAATGAACCGTCATCACAAAGAGTTGAGGATATGCTCAGGACGATCATCCGTCAGCTTCATTCAACTCCACTGGACGAGCCTATCCGGAGACTTTGGAACGACTATGGTACCAAAGGGGGCAATCCAAATATTGCAAAGCTTCAGGACACTCTTGAAAAACTGCTTTCCGCCAACATAGGGAAGGTTTTCCTTATTCTAGATGCGCTGGACGAGTGCCCCGAGGCAGTCAATCGCAAGGAAAGGAGTCTTCTATTGCCATTGCTTACTGGACTTCAGAATAGATACAGTGATAAACTCCACATTCTTGTGACTAGTCGGCCAGAGCCAGATATATTTGAGCATCTTGTGGACTGTCCAGGCTTAGACATTGAGGAAAATCAGGGGTCCGATATTTCGGCCTTCGTCAAGGACAGAGTTGAGGCTTTGGACGACAGGAGAGCTCCAAAGGAAGTGAAAACACAGATATACCAAGAACTGCTACAAGACAAGAAAAGGTGTGCTGCATCTCCCCAGCTAGTGCTATTGCTAATATAAATACTCTTCTGCGCAGGCGATTTCGCTGGGCAGACCTTCAAGTGAAACGTCTCGAAGAATGTCGCAACAAGTCTCAAATCATAGAAGCATTGAGTACGATGCCACAAACGTTGCACGACATATATCTCTCTGTAATAGAAAGAATCAACGCGAAACCCTCCGATGTTATATATGCCAAAACAATCCTCACCTGGCTCTGTTTCAGTGTTAGGCCTCTCACCCTGACTGAAGTAGCAGCAGCAGCAGGTCTTGAGGTCCCAGAGGACGTGATAAAAATCTGCACGACTTCATTTGTCACTTTTCGGCACTCAGATGATGAGATCCGGCTGGCTCACTTCTCTGTGAGGGAATTCCTCGTTAGTAACGAGTGTACAGGCCAATGGCACCAACTCTCCACCTTGAATGGCCACGTCATGCTAGCTGAGCACAGCCTGAGATTACTCCTGCAAATGCCAAGTAGTCTGTCTAGAGAGGAAGTGGATCAAGAAGAGCTGCTGGACTATGCTGCTTGTAATTGGCAGGAGCACTTCCAAGCTTCCGCCATTACCCCAAACCCAGCTCACGAAAATCTCCAAGAGATGGTGGATATGCTATTCCGTCAATCAGCTGCCTACCGCAACTGGCGTTATATATCGACATATTTCGATGAACAAGAAGTACAGGCAACTCCTATTGGTGCTGCATCTGATTTAGGGCTCATTCAGATTGTGACTGGGTTACTAGAAGATGGGGCGAACCCTTTAGAGTGGTTTGCGATACGGCGCGGGTATTATCATGTCCTAAGAAACGCATACCTTGTAGCCTCTGAAAGTGGGCATCTGGAGATATTGAGCTTACTACTGCGCAAAGTGTGCGTGTCTATTGATCTAGCTGAGGGCATAATGGAAATCGTTCAATGCCATGGTTTTGAGAGCCAGAAGCTGGAAGATGTGTTTGACACGCTCTCAGCTTCAGGTGCTATTTTCAATAGGACCGAAAACAAAGGGCTTCATATAGATGAACGCATTGTCGTCGCTGCGGCGAGAAACATAGTTTGTGGCACGAAACTTGTGACCATCCTTCTTGATCGGTACGAAGAGACCGGAGCTGCATTTGTGCCTGTGACAGAGAACGTGTTGAAAACTGTACTACAAAACATGGAGTGTGGAGATGATATTTTGCAGCTTCTTCTCCAAAGGCGCAATGGTGATGTCAGAATCTATTCACGAGTCAAGGAGATGCTGGAATTCCCGGTCAACCTGAACAAGCGCGCAATCGCAATACTTCTTGCACAACGGCAAGCAGAGATCGTGATAGATGAGCAGTTAATTGCTCATTTTGCAAGATACACGGATGACACTGGTATGAAAATACTTTCAAGTGTCTTGGACAACGATTCGATGCTGACCGAGAATGTTCTGGCGAGCGCTGTTCAAAACCGTAGCGGTGTCGGTGTCTTGCGTCAGATTCTCCGCCATCGACGGCATTGGCCACCAGTTAGCGAGGATCTCCTGTGTGAAGCAGCGTGTAACGGAGATAGCGAAAAGCTGGAAGCCTTGCTAGATGATTGTGGTCTGGATTTTGCAATGAGCGAAAGAGTCATGCTGGAGATTGTAGGCAACCGGTATTATGGAGCTGAAATGCTCGAAATGCTCCTGCGCAGGCAGCAAGCAGGATTTATCGTCACTCCCGCAATACTGGACACGGCAGCCTCCCATAAAAGGGCTAAACATGTTGTTGAATTACTTATGAACAACGGAGGCTTGAAAATTCCAATCACTGAAGGCATGATGCTCAGAATTTCTCGTGATGACTTGCTGTGTTATCTACTGGATCTTGAAGAAAGGTCCCAGATACATCCTCTTCCTATCACAGAAAAGTTCATATTGCATGCTGTGAAAACTTTCGAGTCTACCACTCTGAAGGCCATCTTTCGCAGCAGACCAAAGATCTACGTGAGCGAAGATATGTTTGTCGAATCATGCCGTGGCGGAATGTTTGTCGAATCATGCCATGGCGGAATGTCGACTTTAACGGTTTTGATGGAACAACCGCATAGCCAATTGCCAGTGACGAGGATGATCGAAGCATTAGAAAAAGAAGATGGTCAAAGGCCTACAAATATACTTCAGCTCCTCTTAAATGGGAAGTCCTTTGAAGTTGACCATGGGATTATAGAAAGATTTGCACATAATGCCTCCGCTTTAAGTCTCCTGCTGCAGACAACACCCCATGTACCCATTACAGAGCAAGCCGCCATCCGAGCAGCTTCCGGTCATGCATTATGGGTTCTGCTCGATGAGCGAATAGAATCTTTTCCAATCTCGGAGGAAGTCATGTCTGCTGTGGTAAGATCATTTCATCCATTCACAGATTTGCGACGGATTTTGGCACATCATGGTCCACAGGTACCGATCACAGGGAAGGTTCTAGTGGCAGCCTCAGGCACATTAGAAGCTTTACAACTTCTGCTTCAAGCACTAGGGCCCGAGGCACCTCATATGATAACCGAGGAAGTTGTTGCGATGGCCACTTATAAAAGTTTGTCAGCATTACCCAGGTTGCTTGAGAAGTATGGCTCGGCTGTGCCACTTACCGAAAGAGTCATGGTTTTTGCCGCCGCAAACGGCCTTAACGGGCTACAGTGCCTCCTCCGTGAATGGCCTGGCAATATAGACCTTAATCGCATTTGGAGAGCGATCTGGAAGTTTGATCGAGACTCATGCGATTTCTCTTATGGTCGTGATTGGCCCTCTTTGGTACACATTCAGAAGAATGCTGGTAGCCATGTTGTTCAGTTTTCTAAAGCAGTCGATCTCTCAGAGGATGTCTTTATGGGTGCCCTGGCTTCATCTGCTCTTGATGAAAGCATAGGCAGATACAGTGGGTTAATTCCTCTGATCGATGTTTGCATCGAACATGACTTATCCGTACCAGAAGCAGAAGGGCTAGTGAGGGCAGTGTTAGATAAGTGCGACTCTGATCTTATGGAAGCTATCCGTGAGCTTGTCGAGAAGTATGAGGCGGATGATAAACTCCCTAAAGGGAAGTTCGGGGACCTATTGTTATCGCGCATTAGAGAGAGAGAGAGTCATGAGATATCGGCTCCTGAGCCCTAATGCAGTCTAGGATATGTTCATCTGTCGCATGGTATAGTTGTCGTTCTGCTATAAACCCCGGTATCGAAGCCAAAGAAGTCTCGACATTTTCTCCACTACTTTATCCAGATCCTCCGTCACGATAAATGTAGAAATGTTACATATCGGGCTTTTAAGTCTGTAATCTACGCCCATACCCTTCCCAAAGTGTCCACGATATCCTTCGGGCATGTCCACGGAAGCGTGTACGAGCGGGGAAATCGTACCAAGCACGGATTCGATTCTCTTCGAGGGGATATGCAATGAGCATGAGGTGCATATGCCTGACCCTAAAAATTTCCCAATCAGATCGACCATCGTTTCCGCTCTCAATATGTGTTGAGGCGCATATGGGACTCGGCGTTAGATACCGCCAGGTAGATTGTTTACTTGATATGTTTTGCTTCTTGGGTCCGCGACGGCCGGCCATCCGCAGCTACGACAAGCCCATTGATGGCCTGATGACAGTGAGCGATAGTCGCTTAATCGGAGTGGCTCGAGCGTGTGAAGTTCTTGGGTATACTACCTCCCCATCGTCGGCCTATGTGCTGGCCGGAGATAAGTATCAAACTCGCATGATGGAGCCAGACACGCACGGGGCTTTCCGGGTCTTTGGGACGGATGAACTGGAGAAAGTACTTCGGTCTACCGAGGTGACGTATCCTCTCATCGTCAAGCCTTGCCTGGGATGGGGAAGTCAGGCTGTCACCAAAGTGTCTACGGAAGTTGAGTTATTTGAGGCGGTCGAGAAAGCCTGCGAGTGTCACGCATTAGCTCCGCAACAGCGGAGTGACGCCGTTATTGAGCCATATATCGATGGTCCAGAAGTCGATGCCAACTTCGTATTGCTGAATGGCGAAGTGATCTTCTGCGAGATCAGTGATGACTTCCCGAGCCCTGGCGATGGGGACTCTCAACAAGCCATAACTTCGTCGAGACTATGGTCCATATCCCTTCTGCACTTCCATTGCATGAATTGAAGGCCATCCGAGATACGTTGCATCAGAGTATCCTTCGTCAGGGGTTTTCAACCGGTACATTCCACTGCGAAGCGCGGTTGCAGCATTCGAGTCATGAGTTTCGAAAAGATGAGAACGGGTTTGAGGACTTGTATCCCCGCAGAGATACTGATACAAGTGATGGAAGGAGTGTGGGCGTGTACCTCCTCGAAATAAACGCTCGCCCAGCTGGATATCTGGAGACTGTTGGCGTCAACTTGGTCTATGGGGTGGATTATTTCGCCCAGCAAACACTCTTTTCCGTCAATGATAATTTTCGATACAGGGCTTTATGCCACCCATTTCCTGATGGGCCTCGCTCCTACCTCTCGATACTCGTCCTCCAGGAAGACGTTGCTGGGATCATGAAGACCGAAGATGCTACAGCGGAGCTCCTGCGCCAGTACCCCGAACTGGAGCCACATGTGCCGCTGTACGCGACAATCAAGAAGAAGGGAGATAGACTGGTTGGGCCAAAGTCGAGTGAGGTTCATTTCATTGCGTGGATCTTGGTCACAGCTCAGAAGAGGCGCCAGTGTCTGCGGTTGGTGGAGCAGATACGAAGCCATTTCCGTTATGAAGTTGAATAGCATCTCCTAGCCAGAACGAGCTAGTCACTGTCTCCAGCTACCCTATTGACAAATGGCCAACCACCCCCTTTGACGGCTCCAGCGATTACCTCGCCTCTCTTCCGAACGAGCATCTGACCCATCTTTACACTACTCAGCGCAACATCGCCCTTGATCCAGACATCGCTCAAGTACCGATTCATAGCCCGCCATCGCTTCAAACAACTCATCTCCAAACCGCTACCCAACAGAAAACGAACCATCCATACCCTTCTGCGACGACATGCGACCTCCGAATAATGCTCATAGACCCAGATACCCACCGCATCACCGCCGTCCTGGACTTCGAATTCACCAACGCCATGCCGGCGGCGTTCACGTACGATCCGCCCTGGTGGCTGTTACTTTCTGGACCGGAGGTGTGGCTTGAGCGGTGTGCATTGGACGAGTTTCTCGAACTGTATGAGCCCAGAATGGAGGAACAGTTCTTGCGTGCTCTAGCGAGGATGGAGCACGATTATTGAGTACAAGGCAGCCCGGTCGTCTGTCTCTTTCTGCCAGGATGCGCGATTCATGGAGTACCGGTCGGTTTTCTGGTTTGATTATGCGGCAAGGAAGAGAGCTTTGATGTTGATATCGTTTATTGGGATACTACTCTAAATTCCGCTGGTACTGGGATTGAAGAGCTTGATGAGAAGACACGTGCGGAGCTGGAGTTATTTTCAAGAGGTTGAAGATGGAGCGGTTGAAGGCGTATAAGAAGGAGTGTTCTTTGGGGTTTTCTTCGGATATATAACGGACAATAGGTGTTGATTCTTCATTTCGGTGGTTGTTATTCTTGCTTATCATCCTGCTCTCTGGTAGCTACATTATTGGAGCAAAGTGTGTGTGATCTGCCGTGACGGGACTTCCTTATCTAATTTATGAATCTTATTTCACTACATCATCTTCTCGCCTGAGGATAATTTAAATGAATATTCCTGAACAATGTACTGTTTTTATTCCTGAGGGGTGTAAATATATGTCAACGTTTGAAAGAAAACACACTACACTACTAGTACTAGTCAATTTAATCAAGACTAGCTTCATAACAAAGATCCAAAGCTCAGTCTTACTTACTCCTATACAAAAGCTAGATAACCTGCTGAAACTGCTGAAATCACAGCCAGAGCTGGAACAAGTTGATTATGCGCAGCAAGGCCCGGTCAGGAGTACAAAGACATCTAAATTAGGTGGAGGATATGTCCAAGGTAATCATGATGCATCGCTGTTCTCATTCATGTTCCCAGCCTGCGGGTATCAAATTCTAAAGATTTTGGAGCAAGACACTAAAAAATATAACACAGGTATATGAACACAGAGAAGAAAAAAGATGGGAGCCATAAACAAGCATGGTATCGAACGAGATAAAACTCGGACAAGCTTGTCATGAGAGAGAAATAAGCTAAGAGCCGTTACTCAACAGCACAAGCAATAGCTTACTCGGTAGTAAAGCCAGCATTTCGTATACGTGACATGGCTAGCTGGGATGAGCGAGGGTGTTGGGTTCAGGTTCAGGAGGACGGTGTGGATGGATGCAGCGAGGTTGCCAGACGGGCGGTCATGGGAGAATTCTTGCTCGTGTCAACTGGCAAGGTGCAAGCATCGGATATGCCACTTGATGTTGTGTGGTCATGTTCTTTGTGTAATGACACGTGTTGTATAGGTAGAGCCAGTCAGTGTCCTACTGGCGGAGCAGCTGAATTGAAGAGTCGGAGTGTAGATGTGATGTAAACTATTGATGATGACGGCTTATAGAGAAGGGTCATCCTTCCAAGTTCCTGGTAGGCATGTTAGCTTCAACCCAAGCATTTAGAAAAAGTAGGTGTCATACCTTCAAAGTGATGCTTCACGAATGCCATGGGATCATCAACATCCCCAGCACCCATTTGGTGCACTCCCGGGCTGAAGCTGGTGATGGGCAAAACCACCACGTCTCCCACCTTCTTATATCCTTCCTGACCCGTAAAGTCCTCATATGTGATGTTCAATGTCGAACCGGGTTCAAGGTTGAAATAGTCTGGATCGTTGAAATACCGGAAAACGGCATCCGTCCAAGCGCCGGGCCCAGTGTACTCCATGACAGTCTTATCCATCTTGCCAGTCTTTAAAATACCTGCCTTCTTCATCCGCAAGGTCTCCTCCGTGATGTAGGAGACAATATCGCGCATGATAGGGTGTCCAGGCTTGGCTTGAATGGTCCATTGGCAGAACTGGATTCTGCGCGCATACCAGTCATGCCAGTCGGGGCGGTCAGGATCCGCCTCAATGCCCACCACCGCTCCAACTGTAGCCAGATCTAACTCTGCTGGCAGCCAGTCAGACGCCGGCTTCAACGCCGTCGTATCAATATCGCTGTAGATTCCACCCCGAGCGAGAAGGATCAAGTATCGGAAAAAGTCGGCTTTCAAGACGGGCAGCGGCATAGCATCGTAGGCCTCGAACACATCCGGAACAGCGCCGTACAGGTATTTGATCAAATGGCGTTGGGTATCATCGGGGACAACCTCGTGGACAAATCCGGGATGCAGCTCGGACCAGCTGGACTCGGGATCACGAAGGTTTTCGCTGAAGAACATCGAGGAGGGCGCATATTTCCACGTCTGCCAGATGAATGCAGGAAACTTGGCTTCCAGATCATAGGGAAAGTGGTAGCGCAAGCGCTCGCGCAAGGGGGCGCTCGGTGGCGGGGTCAGCGGCAGCTGTTGTACGGTGTCCCTCGTTCCACCTTTTTGATCATTGTCTGCATGGCCATCGTAATCCTGGTTGTATAGGTGTCCGGCGGAGGCGGTCTCTGGGGACGGGAGGGAAGAGGCGGGATGCGATGATCGGAGGTAGACGATAAAGGTAATCAGAAGCGCAGCCGCAAGTAGCGACTTCCGAAAGGTGAGCATCGCTATGTGAGATATGAGAAGATCGCTAATTAGGTGGATAGTCACACAGGCGCAATGAGCTGGTAGACAGCAGAGTTATGTAGAACCGCAGCCGGTCTTCTCCGCAACTCCGCCGACGATCAAAGCAGATCAACGCCAGGCCACGATAAACGCAAGATCGATATGTATATCGTGTCAAAAGCCGTTTCGCCAGAAGTTTTGTCAGCAATTTCGCATAGCTAACTAGCTGTTCTGTGCGATCGTGCCACTGCAGGGTTTTAGGGGTGTTTCGTAAGAAAAGCGTCAAGACTCCGGGGCCGCGCGGTCGCTGTGGTCGGGGATCGGTAGGCGCCGTAAACAAAAAGAACCGCAATTGATTGGTAGGGATAGCACAGCTGTCTTGCCGGTTGAAGGAATTGCTAGGAGGCCAGAAGCAAATCAATGCAAGAGCAGCAGAGCAGAAGAGCAGACAGAGGCCAGCTGGTGCTGGAAGAGGAGTGAGGAGCCGGCGAAGAAAAAGGTTGTTGAGCGTAAGGCTAAGCAGCAGCAGTGGAGCCGAGTGACGACGGCGAAAGAGTAAGTGGTTTTGGTGGCGTCAGAAACGGCGGGCACTTCGGCTGATAAGCATTCGACCATTCCACTCTTTGCCCGTCTAGAATGTGGTCGTTATTCCACAGCGTGCAGGAGAATATTTCCTGGACACTTAAGTACACCACCAGAAAAAGAATACAATTAATTCTCTTCCATTCAAGGATCAAACCAATTCAGGGGCTGCAGCTCTGCATTATAAGTTCCGACCCAGTCAAACGCGTCGCTAAAAATTGCTGGATGGCATACGACGTTGGCATCCACACACCCTCGTTCGTCTGCCTCCGCAACAGGAGATGATCGTCTAAGCCTTGTCAGATTGATTGAATGCTTAGTCGTCCGCAGTGCTTGGTTCGCAATTCCCTTGGCACGATGGTTTGTCTCAACATGAGATGCGGGTTGATGGTTGTGTTGCCGATCAACTTCGCATCCGAGGTGGTATCGCCTTCGTTTTCCCCACAAATCGGGTTGGTGGTTGTTGGCCGTTTGCAGCCAAATGTCGCCGTGATCGCAACGATTTTTAGAAACCGTGCCAGGTCCACTACGCGGTCTAGATCCCTGAGCAGTCCCTGCTGCAATAAGGTTACTTCTATCTCCAGGCGACCCTTTTTTTGGGTGAAAGGGTTCTTGCTTTCGCATCACTCTCTACCACGAATCGTGTCCCCATTCACATCGGAGTTAAGCTGAGGGGCACACCCGCTCAGCCCATTCAAAGAAGACGTGGTTTACGTAGCCTGCAGGGTGGACACTGCGTCAGCCTGGTGAAGCCGCGTCATACGCTGGGCCGGCTGCTGCACCCCCGACTTCTTGGCTCCGGCGCTTAGTAGATGAACTTGTACGGAGTGTTGGGATGACCATTCTGCGTGATAGTGACAGGTGAAAGCCACCTACATTGCTTGACCTGCATGCCTCGTCCACTTACAGGGCGCGGACCAGGGCCAAGCAATAACCACTGCAGCTATCATTGGCTCGATATCTCCTCCACCACCAGCCACTGGCCATGTCAACTTCGCAGCATAATACACACTTATCACAGTATCTGATCTGCAGTCCACGCTATACTCTTTCTGTCATGTTGACAATTTCCATTTATTCCACAGCAAAACACACATACACACATCTTCCACTCTTCAGGTGTAACTTGTTCTGTGGTACTCCATAGTTGCTTGGATGCTCCTAGTTGTGTTGAGGACAATGTCCAGATCCCCCTTTCTTCTCTACGGTCACGTGCAACACGTGGAACCTCCCCAGGCGTTGAATGGCTCTTTGCGGTCTTCCAGGCCCGCTACATACCAGATATAGATAAGCGCATCTCCGGACCTTGGATGAGTTCCTGAAACCTTGAGAAACTATTCCCACGTTGTATGTTACAGTGCCTGAACCGAGTCGTGAACTCCCGCAGATGGAACCTTACAATCAGGATTCTTTCTCATCCAAGGAACACGGAAACGAGCTGTGGTTGTAGGTGGCTTGTCATAACCCAAGGTACTGATCGCTATCAATAGAAGCATCACGAGCTAGACCTACAATTGTAGACTCAGCCAGAATGCATACACCCGGTCGCCCATTGTCAAGCATACGATGTGGCTGTACTATTCCTCCCTGCTCTGCTACACCACCAAATCCATTAAGTGATAACCCAGGAATAAAAGAATGTTGACCTAGCCGCTGAGGTAAGCAGGGGATCGAGCGGATCTGGATCTCTCAGAATAGCGAACAGGAATTTGACATTTCCGACACTGTTGGCAGTGGCTGATCGTCCCGTCCACTCACATCTTAGGAATGGTCAGACAGGTCAAGTCTCGCTCGGCCGGTTTCACCATGACTTGCGTGCTTGACTCCAAACTTTCCTCACCATCGTTCCTATCATCTGTTTGCCATGATCCGTGATCACTGACCCTCAAAACCTCTACTCCTTTTCCACCAATGGCTCACCTCATTGGCCCAGCTACCTTCTCCCCCTAACCACCAAACACAGTAAGGTAGTAAATGCCACCCTCCAGACCCAAAACATTCCCTGGTTCGCGCGCGCGGATGGCAACATCCCAGCAAGTACACTCTGACCCAGGTGGATACCATGAAAGGCCTCCCATCACTGCTGAACAGCAGCAGCACCAGCAAAAAATGGACACAATCCACCCCATCCACAGATACTGCTGAGGATGAGGGCCATAGTGATAGTACTATATCACCCACCAAGCCGCCCTCAGCGGACACCCCCCCAGGCGGCTCAAAAAAACCCATGATCTGGACGCGAAAGAAGATAACATGGCTCATCACCCTGATAGCTCTA